AATTGGAGGCAAACATTTGCAAGATAATCCATTGTAATGTTTTTGTGATCCTGCTCTAGGGATTCAGATTGGTGCCGGTTCTATATTTTAGGGCAGGGGTTTCTAACCTTGCATTCCCAGACATGGATGTCATGGGGTGTTGCGTGCACTCCAGGTTTCAAACCAAACCTCGCAGGAGTTTGTGAACTCTACCCCAAAAATAGGTTCAGCAGCTTGTATAAGTCCTGTACAATTCAACATGGCAAACCCCTTGAAATCAGAATCAGCTGCCTTTAATACAGTGGTTCCCAACCTTGGGTTTCCAGAGGTTCTCGGACTAAAACATCCAGAAGCCTTCATCACCAGCTGTGGTGGTCAAGATTTCTGGAGGTTGTAGCCCAAGAACATCTGGAAACCCAAGGTTGGGAGCCACAGTCTTATGCTGATATTTTCTTGTTTTGCCAGCCGAATGCCTGTATGCATTTGGGGCGGGCTTACTTGGATTTTAAAGCAAGCGTAGGCAAAGCGCAGTTCTCCAGATGTGGCCCCAGTGTACTTCACCACTGACTACGCTAGCTGGAGAAGCTGGCCGCTGTAGACCAGGCACACTTAAAGAGCCTGGTTCCGCCCAGCTTTATTCAAAGGAGTTTAACCCAAAGTTGGGAAACCAGATGTTGATGGACTCCAGTTCCCATCAGCTTTGACTAACCTGAACCATGGTGTCCAGCCAAAGGCTGTCCAGATGTTGATGGATCTTCTTCATCAACCATGGTGGGTGATGAAGAAGAATCGTCAACATCTAGACAGACTTCGGCTTCCCAACCGTGAGGCAGCTGAAGTTGTACCAGAGTCCATGATAGTTTCCTCAAGGTACTATGAAGCATTTCCTTCAGAAAGACGGTAAAGCTGATTAGAGCTACATCCCACAGATCGGTGGTTGATCCTAAAGATAAACACCTCTCAGTTTTCCTCAGTCTTGGCCATTTCCTTCAGGGCCCTTGTGCGCTCCACTCCTCTGTGGTTTTGTCATTGTGTTCCCATGGATGTTACACTTTCCTCCTCGGATTCATTTCCTCATAATTTTGTTTGATGAGTTGCTTAATAAACCACTCATCTCTTCATCCTTGGCCCTGCTTGTTTCGGCTCAGTGGTTTCCCGCCATCCGCATCCCGAGTTCTTGCTTTAAATCAGCTCGTTTCATCGTTCTGTGGAACACTCTGTTTTCCAGGTCACTGACCTATAATGTTCTCAAAATTCATTCCGTGGGGGTGTGCCTGAGGGTTTATTTTATTTTATTTTATTGGAAAATAGGGTGGTGTAATAATGAGACCTCACTCTGCTTTGCTTTCTGCGGCTCAATTTTCCTTCCGCCTTCCGTTTTCTAAAGCAAAATGTCGTTTTCCGTGACAAATTAATGAATCCATTAATACTCCTGTGCATGCAGGAAATATATGATCTCTTCTGCCACAATAAAAATGGTATTCTTGTGGTTTTTCCCCCCGCGTTGACATCTGAAAATGGGCTGTTTCTGTTTTCTTAAATGTTTATTTTAGCATGTGTATATAGTTTATTTAGTTTATTTATCATAACGTCTTGTTATATGCTAGCAAGTCGGAATAAACTTATTATGAGTGACCCTAATAAGACTTTCAAGGTAAGTGAGATATTTAAGGAGCAGTTTTACTAGTTCCCTTTTCAGGATTTTATAGGTACAGCGAGGACTCAGAAGGGGTTGATCCTTCCCTTCTTCTGGGATGGTGCAGGTTGCCCAAGGCCACCTAGGCTGGCTCTTCTCCCAGTAGGCCCAGTGGGGAATTGAACTGCTAACCTTTGGTTCCAGAGCCAGATATGTAAACCAATGAGCTCTTCAACCAGCCTATGGCCCCACATAAAATGACATAGATTTAGTTTGTAAATATAATGGCAATGAAACTCCTGTGGCTTGCAGCTTTTGAGAAATGTTAAGAGAAGAGGCCACTGGTCCGTAAAGAGCAAATGAGAGATTCCCCACCCCTGGGTAGGTTGACCCTTCCCAGCTTGCCCGGAGGTGTCCCCTTCCTGCTGTAGCAGCGTATCCTTGTTTCTTCACCCACTTGTGCATTTATTAATACCCACATTTACCCCTGGCCTGGTTCCTGACTCTGCCTATCAGCAACTATCTGCCCCACCATTCATAGTGGTCTCCACCCCTGGTTCCTGACTCTGCCTATCAGCAACTGGGCCTTCTGCCCCACCATTCATAGTGGTCTCCACTACCACCACTGGTGGGAAGTGTAGACCAGGAACGCAGAAATAGTAGTCTTCCCGTGGTCGGATTTAGATTCCCAGCCTATCTCTCCACTCGCTCGTCCAGGAGTTGATGTTCAGCCACATCTGAAGGGCCTGCATTTTGCCCATCCCGGAAGAGACATGGCAAAATATTAGGAACGTAAGAAGAGGCCGCATGTTGGGCGAGACCATTGGTCTACCTAGCCCAGTATTGTGAGTACTGAGTGGTGATGTACCTCCAGGGATTGGGACCCATGCTCTCTCTCCTGCCCCCAGATCACAAGAATCCTAACGCCACTGTTTTCTAAGAATGGAAGTCCTTATTTCCACCCCTGGGGAGAGAAACTCCAAGGTATCATTCCTCCTCTCCCACCTAACATCAGTGCTGTTATGTAACAGTATCATTCCTCCTCTCCCACTCATGATCCTAATCAACATCATCAGCATGGTGTAATAGGTAGAATGTCAGGGGACCGGTGAGACATGGGCTCAAATCCCCTCTTAGTAGACAAAGACCAGTGACTTCAGTTTTAGTATGGGACCCATGCTTGATGCCAGAAATACAGTATCCGATTTCTGCAAATAACATGTATGAACACCCTTTTTGTGCATTCAGGGCATCAGCGCTTGCTTTATTAAGACGGTGTGTAAGAAAACGAACCCTCTTCTGGTTTTGTTTTAGAATGGGTTCTGGGGGGAATCCCCAGCAGATTGGAAGTTAAACATTCCCAAGTGTTCTTGAAAATTGTGTTTGAAATATGCCACCTTTACGTGGCATGTCGACGCTAACAGTATGCCATAGGTTTGCAAGCTTGACAGCCATGCAATGTCCCAGGTGTTGTTCTTCTCATCATCTATTCACACTAAGATATACTGACACTTCTAGATGGCAGCTTTCTGCTGAGTGCTGGTACCTGCCTTGCAAATAAGAGCCCCCATCCCTGTTCAAACTGTCACTAGTCCATATGGATTTTTGTCAGTGCACATAATGTAGCAGTCAATCTTTCCTTTTTAGGACTTCACCTCCCAGAATCCTCCAGCCTACCTGCTGGTTATGGGATTCTGGGGGAGTTGGAGGGTAGTCTTTTAAAAAAGGAACTTTTCCAAGCACGAGGAGACAGCCACCAAAAATTGTGGGAATTTACTACTTCTTTGAGCACCTTCTGGAATACTTCCTAATTATGTTGGTGATATCATCAGATGAGAATCTGGACACACAGCCTGGAAAAATCACTTTTAAAAGACTGCATCCTCCAGAATTTTCCAGATAGCCTACTAAAAAAGGAAATAAAAAAAGAAATTTCCCCAAATTCTGGACTCCACGAGTTCTCCTTAAAAAAACCTGACTCATGTCATGGAAATATTAGTTTCTAAATCTCTTCAAACTGTCACTAGTCCATATGGATTTTTGCCAGTGCACATAATGCAGCAGTCAGTCTTTCCTTTTTTGGACTTCACCTCCTAGAATCCTCCAGCCTGCTTGCTGGTTATGAGATTCTGGGGGAGTTGGAGTGTAGTCTTTTTAAAAAGGAACTTTTCCAAGCACGAGGAGACAGCCACCAAAAATTGTGGGAATTTACTACTTCTTTGAGCACCTTCTGGAATACTTCCTAATTATGTTGGTGATATCATCAGATGAGAATCTGGACACACAGCCTGGAAAAATCACTTTTAAAAGACTGCATCCTCCAGAATTTTCCAGATAGCCTACTAAAAAAGGAAATAAAAAAAGAAATTTCCCCAAATTCTGGACTCCACGAGTTCTCCTTAAAAAAACCTGACTCATGTCATGGAAATATTAGTTTCTAAATCTCTTCACGAATGAAATCTATAGCTTATTTTAAGCTAAAATCACTTCAAATGGAGGGGGGAATAGGATTTTTTTTAAAAAAGGAAATTATTTCAAAGAATGTCTTTTTGATCTTTGCATGAATAAGCATTATTAACATTAATAAGCAACTGAAAGGCACACTTGTATTAAATAGGAGCTGAAGTAGATATTGTATCTCTTGCATGTTTTTTCTTGACAAAACATCAACCTCTTCGAAAGGATCGGAGGCATGCTAAGGGCTTCAGGCAAAAACTTTGCCTCTAAAATTATTCTAAATGATGTCTGACGCTTGCACAGTATGGCAGCACCTTTGTTATAGAAATTATTGTCAGCATTTTTACAAATCTGAGTTAAGATGCAACTCTAAACTAGGGGTAAGATTTGGTTCATTCTTTTGGTCAGTATGTAACCAAACATGGCAAGTAATTCATGAACAGTCTAACACAGAATTTGAGATTCTGATAAAAACCACAGGTGAGGTGTAGCTTATTCTGGATCACCTACAACTTCACAAAAAGTGGTAGGCAACATTTTTTTTTCCTGGAGGGGGACTTTCATGCATTCCCCATCCCCTTTTAAAAGTTCTGGGCTATCTAGGCTCATGAAGAGTTGCACATATTGTAAATTTATGATGAACCTAATGAGCCTTCTGCCTGGGTGGGTAGCTCAGTGGTTTAGATCTCTGGCTGTGGAGCCCGAGTTCGAGGTTGGGAATTCGATTCCCCCACTGGGCCTCCTGGGAGAACAGCCAGCCTGTGTAACCTTGGGCCAGCTGCACAGGCCCACAGCACCCCTAGTGGAAGGGAAGGGTAAACCACTGCTGAGCACTCTCTACCTGGAAAACCTTGAAAAGGGTCACCATGAGTCAGAGCTGACTTGATGGCACGTGATGATGATGATTTAATGATAATTCTGCTCACCATTGGATTTGGAAGTTTGTTTAATTCCAAGGCATCACCAAAGCCTCTTTTTGCCTTAAGATAATCCATCTTTTTTTCTTCCCATATTTCCTGGAAAAGTAAATCCCAGTGATCTCAGGGGAATTACTTCTGAGTAAACTAGGGCAGGAATTGCACATTAAATTCAGCCTTCACCTCTCTCCTTTTCGGACTCAACGAAAGGTAGGTGTAACATCTGTGCTGCCACCTAACCAAATTTTCAAATGTTTACAAACGTGTGTGTGTGTGTGTGTGTGTGTGAGTGAGTGAGTGATGCTTCCACGTGTAATGCAGTTCTCTTATTCTGTGGACCCGACAAACTAGGGCAGGAATTGCACATTAAATTCAGCCTTCACCTCTCTCCTTTTCGGACTCAACGAAAGGTAGGTGTAACATCTGTGCTGCCACCTAACCAAATTTTCAAATGTTTACAAACGTGTGTGTGTGTGTGTGTGTGTGTGAGTGAGTGAGTGATGCTTCCACGTGTAATGCAGTTCTCTTATTCTGTGGACCCGACACCCTAAACCAGAGAGAGAGAGAGAGAGTGAGTGTGAGTGAGTGATGCTTCCACGTGTAATGTAGTTCTCTTATTCTGTGGACCCCACTCCCTGTTTTAAACCGAAAATAGTTCAGTTTTTTTCTTCTGACAGTGTTGGAGGCCAGAAATGTCCTCCAGACCTTCAGAGTTTACCGTGGAGTAGAAGATGGAATGATACACCGTTCTGGGAGTAACTAGCAACATAGAAATACATATTGATTATCCAGGAGGCCCTCCTGGGTGGATGGAAGGAAGCAGGACAAAGCCAGCCAGAATCACATCCTTCATCTGGTGTACATCTTCACCGGCTTGCGCAATGGGTGCAGGAGGTGGTGATGCTCTCGGACGGTGTTGCAAGATTCTTGGGAGGGACAGAGGACGCACATCTGGCAACACAAGGGGCCGCAACTCCATCCAGAGCCTGAAGGGGTTTTGTCGGACACAGGAGAGAAGTCAAAATCCGCCACCTGTAGATTGGCAAGGGAGAAGACCAAGGTCAATTCCAAACTCTAGCCCATCTTACGCAGCGTTCTGTTTTACAGAAGTCTAGACTTGGGCCACCAGGGGAATTCTGGGAAATGTAATCCAAAACCCCAAATCTACACACCTTCAGTCTACACCAGGGGTCCCCAACCTTGGGCCTCCAGATGTTCTTGGACTTCAATTCCCAGAAATCCTGGCCAGCAGAGGTGGTGGTGAAGGCTTCTGGGAGTTGTAGTCCAAGAACATCTGGAGGCCTAAGGTTGGGGATCACTGGTCTACACTACAGGTGGGGAAACCTCTGGCCTCCAGATGTTGGGAATATAATTTGCATACATTCTTGCCATTGGCCACCTTGGCTGGTCCTGATAGACATGGTAGACTTACACATCTGGCAGGCTAACGGCCTGGCCTCTACTCATCCGGAGGGCACCAGGTAATCATCATCATCATCATCCCCAAGCTTCACAGTTCCAGCCCTGATCCCATATCCCTTCTGCAAACATACAGACTAGGTCAGTGGTTCTTAACCTTGGGTTACTCAAGTGTTTTTGGACTGTAACTCCCAGAAGCCTTCACCACCAGCTGTGCTGGCTAGGGTTTCTGGGAGTTGCAGTTCAAAAACACCTGAGTAACCAAGGTTAAGAACCACTGGACAAGGTAATCAAATTCAGCCCCTATCAAAGAGGCACAGCAAGGAATCAAACTCCCAACTTCTGGCTCAGCCGCCAGAGACCTAAACCGCTGAGCTATCTAGCAGTTTTTAACTAGAGGTTACACAGAATCTGGCATTATAGGCTAAATAAACAGTTAGCGGTAGAAGATCAGAGGCACAGCAAGGAATCGAACTCCCAACTTCTTCGGTTGAAGATGGCTAGTTTACAAAGTCAATTCATATGTCAGCTCATTTATTTAAATTTGTATACTGCTCCCCATTAGTGCTGAAGCACCACTGTGTGTGGTTTACAACAGTAAACAAACAAACAAGAAAATATACAAAACTAAAATGATTTAAAACCAATATAGTAACTAACCATATCCCTTGGCATGTAAGTGCCCAAACATCTGAATATTTATTAGGGAAATATTTGTAAAAGCTAAAGTCCCCCGGTTCAGGGACTGGTATATTTTGGTTATATTAATCATTCTATTCTTTAATGCTTTTTAAAAACCATCAGTATTTCATTCTTAAGCCATGAGTATAAAATGATTTAAAACCAATATAGTAACTAGCCATATTCCTTGGCATGTAAGTGCCTAAACATCTGAATATTTATTAGGCAAAAATGATTTAAAACCAATATAGTAACTAGCCATATTCCTTGGCATGTAAGTGCCTAAACATCTGAATATTTATTAGGCAAATATTTGTAAAAGCTAAAGTCCCCCGGTTCAGGGACTGGTATATTTTGGTTATATTAATCATTCTATTCTTTAATGCTTTTTAAAAACCATCAGTATTTCATTCTTAAGCCATGAGTACTTCAGAGATGGCATTCAAATTTGTAAAAAAGCATGTCTGATGTTGCTTTCCATCTGTCTGTCTCTCTCTCTCTGTCTATCTATCTATCTATGAACATTTTGGGGACAGTTACAGTATATTTTCAGCTGAATAGCTTGTGGTTTAGGTATCTGGATATTGACCCAGAGGTTGGGAGTTCGATCCCCCACTGTGCCTCCTTGACAGGGAAGGTCTGGAGTCAATGATCCATAGCCCCCCCCAACTCTGCAGTTCCAAGATTATTAAGATTATCACTTTCTTTATATGCAGCTTGTCATATCCTATGTTCTACCTGAAAAGCTAGCACACCTTTTATTTCTATTTTTTCTTTCTTGATCTCTGAGCTATACGACAATGTGAATTTCATGGTGCCGTGATAATGGGGCTCTTCCCCTTTACAAACTGTTCTCTTGAAATGTTTTCTAAATGTACAAATCCTTTGATTTGCTTTTAACTTGTGATATTTCCATTTTTCTTAAAAGAATAATCGGGGAGGATAGTTTGGAAGTTGGGCATGTGGCTTTTATGTTGATAAAGTAAGTGTAAGTGTGTGTGTGCGTGTGTGTGTGTGTGTGTGTGTGTGTGAGAGAGAGAGACAGAGAGAGAGAGATTGGTGTAACCAAAGGAGATGACAATGCCATACCTCTACAAGATCCTTTTGTTGTGGGTTGCTTCGGAAAGTCACGTAAACAGCTAAACCCAGCATAACTGCTAAGAGAGCGAGGCAAGGGAGTACAAAGAGAGCCGGATGAATACCTAGAAGGGAGGGGAAGGATATTATGAGTGAGAAGGACCTTGGAATTGTTGTAGATCACAAGCTGAATATGAGCCAGCAGTGCGATGCGGCTGCAAAAAAGACCAATGCTATCTTAGTTTGCATTAAAAGAAGTATAGTCTCCAAATCACATAAAATACTAGTTCCCCTCTATTTGGCACTGGTTAGGCGCTGTGGGCCTAAACCGCAGGCCTAAACTGCGGGCCTAAAACTTGGTGGTGCTGCGGGCTAAACCGCAGAAGCCTTTGTGTGCTGCAGGGTCAGAAGACCAAGCAGTCGTAAGATCGAATCCATGCGACGGAGTGAGCACCTGTCGCTTGTCCCAGCTCCCGCCAACCTAGTGGTTCGAAAGCATGCAAATGCAAGTAGATAAATAGGGACCACTTCGGTGGGAAGTTAACAGTGTTCTGTGTTTAAGTCGCACTGGCCATGTGACCACGGAAGATTGTCTTCGGACAAAACGCTGGCTCTATGGCTTGGAAACGGGGATGAGCACCGCCCCCTAGAGTAGAACACGACTGGACAAAAACTGTCAAGGGGAACCTTTACCTTTACCAAGGCCTCATCTTGAGTACCGTGTTCAGTTCTGGATGCTGCATTTTAGGACATGTGTTTAAGTCGCACTGGCCATGTGACCACGGAAGATTGTCTTCGGACAAAACGCTGGCTCTATGGCTTGGAAACGGGGATGAGCACCGCCCCCTAGAGTAGAACACGACTGGACAAAAACTGTCAAGGGGAACCTTTACCTTTACCAAGGCCTCATCTTGAGTACTGTGTTCAGTTCTGGAGGTTGCATTTTAGGACAGATGCCGACAAACTGAAGCAAGTTCAGAGAAGGGCAAAAAGGATGATCAGGAGACTGGAAACCAAGGCATGTTATCCTTGAGAAAAATAAGGTTGAGCCCCCCCAGAAGAATACAGTGGTGCCACGCTAGACAGCTATAGGAAGCCGGATTTGGGCTGAATCTCAGGAAAAACTTCATAACTGTTTGAGCGGTATGACAATGGAACCAATGACCTTGAGAAGCGGTGAGTGCTCCAATGTGGGGGGCATTCAAAAGAAAATTGGATAACCCTCTATCATGCTTTGATGGCATTATAGGCCCTTCCAACCCAGTTCTTTTATGACTTTGTGAAACTATGAATACAGTGGTACCTCGCAAGACGACGACCCCGCTGAATGATGAATCTGCATTACGATGACTTTTTTGCAATTGCAAAACAAGCATTCCAATGGGGGATTTTTGCTGGGCGTCAATTAGGTCCGTGCTTGGCAAACTGTTCGCAAGACGACGATTTTTCCGGCTCTGTGTTTTCTGGGCCCATGCTTCGCCGGGCAGCAATTTTTACATTTTGCGCTTGCAAAATGGCTTCCCTATGGGAAATCTTCACTGGACAACAAGGTATTTTCCCCATTGGAACACATTAAATGGGTTTCAATGCATTCCAATGGGGAAACTGATTTCGCATGACGACAATTTTCCCGGAACATTGTCATGCGGGGCACCACTGTACTTAGATCTGTGAACAGTGGCTTTTCAGAGGTGGTGATATTTAGACAAAGAGGTTAAGGTGGTTAAAGCCTTCTTCTCCCCATCTAGATGGTGGCTCTAAAGACTCCATCTTTAGAGGGAGTTTATTTGTGATTATTTACTGAAGAAATGCAAGGAAGTGGTGATTTGCCTGGGAGCTTCTCAAAAGTGGCCACGGATTGGCCAGAGGAAGAAACAACGTGCCAGACGGGAGGAGCCTTCCAAATGGCTCAACTGAAGTCTGGAACTATTACTTCTTGGTACTACAGTTCCCAGAATCCTCCGGTCTCAAAACGTTGACAAGCTGTAAGTCAAAGAGTGCTTTCTTAGCTCTGACGTGCTTTCTTACCATTATTTTGACATTCTTTCAGTGCCAAATTAAAACCCAGATATTCATCTTAGCCTTCGTTACTGAGAGAGATGATGGCTTCCCTTACCCCAAAAATGTCTAGTTTACTCTTTTTGTTTTCCTTGAATCATCAGGCCTTTAAGTTGTTTTATAGGAAGTGGACAATATTTGGAGGATGACGGGCAAAAGACCCAAATACAGCCCCCGACACTTGGCTGAGTTTCTGAAACACTACTGTGTTTTATTTAGCAAAAGCCAGCTGAAATGCAGCCTTACATTTTTACTTAAAGTGGAAGGTTTGTCAAGAGATGTTTTAGCCTTTAAATTGCTAGTGGGAAGTGAATGAAAACTCAAGGAGTTCTCAGTCCTTTCCTGAATTATTTTTCTGATATTCTGAATAATGCTATTGCCCCATCTTTTAAGGTTAAAGCTGCTCTCTCGCAAAGGATGATGAAACTCTGTAGCCTCCTTATTGCTTCATTTTATTTGCCAGAGCCAAAGGGATTGGCCTGCTTACTTGACGCTCCAGTCAGGGTGGGCCCAAGGCGTTTTGCTGCCTGAGGCCAAGTACAAGACGGTGCCCCTCTGCCAGAAGTTGATTGGAGAGGCAGATAAATTTCACCTTCAAGAAGGGAGAAAATAAAAGCTTTCTCCCCAAGTGTAGGAGAACAGCTTACAGGGCTGCATGACGTAAACAGTTCTGTCCTCCACACTTTTTGAAATGGCCGAAGTTACGATCTTGAACAAAAAAACACCACAACCCCCCCCCAGTTGACTAGCTGTTGCCATGGTTCACAGAGCTGTTATGTTGTTATTTAGATGTCTGGCTGGAGTCGGAGTGCCTGGCTGGAGAGCCAGAGGTTGCGAGTTCGATTCCTCACTGTGCCTTCCTGGGAGAAGAGCCAACCTATGTAGCCCTGGGCCAGCTGCATAGTTCCAGAGAGCCCCCCCAGAAGAATACAGTGGTGCCTCACTAGACAGCTACCCTGCATGACAGTTTTTTCGCTAGACATTGGCTTTTTGCATTCGCTATAGCGATTTGCAAAACAGTGATTCCTATGGGGGAATTTTGCTGGACAATGTTTGGTCCCTGCTTCGCAAACCGGTTTTCGCTAGACGACTATTTTGACAGCTCCCTCTGTGCTCGCAAAACAGATATTTTGGGGACCTAAGCTTCGCAAGACAGTGATTTAAACTGCTGATCGGCGCTTTGCAAGGCGGCTTTCCTATGGCCGATCTTCACTAGGCAACGACGATTCTTCCCCATTGGAATGCATTAAATGGGTTTCAATGTATTCCAATGGGGAAATACTTTTCGCTAGACAATGATTTCGCTAAACAGCGATTTCAGTGGAACAGATTATCGTCATCTAGTGAGGCACCACTGTATTTAGATATTCAAGGAGTAGTTTCACCAGTGAGGCTTAGTGAGGATCTGAACTCTGTTTTCCTGAGTCCTAGTCCATTACTTTATCTACTAACAACACTCTGGGTATGGGACACCACCTTGTGACCCCCAATTATCTTCTGTTTGAAGCAGCTGCCTTAATCTGTCTTACGGGCGGGCACCCCAGCTCCAAAAGATCGCGCAATCGCTCTTGGTATGAAAACAGTCCTAGCGTGGCTCCTTTGTGGGCACAGGTCCCACATGTGTCAACTTGAGCACACCCACAAACCCATCAAGAAAAGGCAGGACCAAGCCAGAATGGAAGCAGAACCCACAGGCCCCACCGAAAGGTGCTTAGCCACGCAGAGTCCTTGTTTTTATCCTTCTCACCTAAAGGCTTGACTTGAATCTCTCGGTATGACTGCAACCTGTTCACTCCGTTCTCAACCCGCACGCTGAGGCAGTATTGCCCAGCATCGCTGAAGACGTGGTTCAGGGAGTAGTCAGTAGCATTGGTCACCACTAGGTGGCACTGGTCCCCCTCCAACGGAACACATTCGGTCTTGATCAACCAGCACAAGCCGAGAGGGGGGCTGGAAACCAGGGAAGCACAAAAGACATTTCATTACACTGGCACAGGCAACCTTTAATGCGTTGGGGCCCATCGTTGCCCTCCCCGACGGAAGTGGGTCCTGAACTATCTCTAGGGGCAAAAACGTTGAGGCTGTCCTACTTTGGGCACATCATGAGAAGGCAAGATTCTCTGGGAAAGAGAAGGATACTCGGAAAGGGGGAAGGCAGCAGGAAAACAGGGAGACCCAACATGAGATGGGCTGACTCCTTAAGGAAACCACAGATTTGAGTCTACAAGAGCCGAGCAAAGCAGTTGAGGACAGATAGATTTGGAGAGCTGTCATTCCTAGAGTCATGACCCAACATGAGATGGGCTGACTCCCTAAGAAAACCACAGATTTGAGTCTACAAGAGACGAGCAAAGCAGATGAGGACAGATAGGTTTGGAGAGCTGTCATTCCTAGAGTCACTGTTAAGTCAGAGGTGACTTGACAGCATGTAACAACAACATAAACTGGGCCCTGTCAACACACTCCTAGGTTCTTTTCACACATACAGTGGTGCCTCGCTTTACGATTGCCCCGCATTATGACAAAACCGCTTAATGGCGATCTTTTTGCGATTGCAAAACAATGGTCTGAATGGGGGAATTTTGCTTTGTGATGATCGGTTGCCTGCTTCGGGAACCGATTCTTCGCAAAACAACGTTTTTTGAACAGCTGATCAGCGGTTTCAAAATGGCCGCCGGGTGATTATAATGGCTCCCCGCTGTGTTTAGGGATGGAATTCTCGCTATACAGGCAGCGAAAATGGCCACCGTATGGAGGATCTTCACTGGACAGTGAGTTTTTACCCCATTGGAACGCATTGAATTGTTTCAGTGGGGTTTTTATTTTCGCTTTACGATGTTTTCGCTTAACGGTGATTTTCCTGGAACGGATTGTCGTCATTAAGTGAGGCACCACTGTACTGTTGGCAAGCCAGATTTCCTATGCCTTCTTTTTCCGAGTTTCTTTTCTGTTACTTAGCTGCAAGCCTCTGCATCCCTCTTGATCTTCCTCATGTGGGTTTTGACTTAAACTTTTCAAGATCCTATTTAGAATTTTGTTTCTGTCTTCTATGGACTTTGGCTGCAGCCCTTTTCCCTCTGTGTCCTTGGTAGGTTGGATCTGTGTACATTCTAACCCTCTCAATTGTTACTTGGCTCATTATACCTCACCCGGACCAGAAACCCGCCTTGACTCCAAGTTCATTCGCTTGCTGATTATGTTTACGACACCCAGTGGCATTTTTTTTTTTTTGCCTGGGGGTGCAGTTTCTGCCTGTGATGGTATACTTTGAAGAAAGATCAACAGAACTTTGCTCGGATGAGTTGAGAGATGAACACGTGCTCTTTGGACCTCAATTCTGACAGCCAGCGTCAACTGCCACATTCTTAAGGGGCTATCATCTGCTTTCCTTGCCTGTGTCTGGGATGTCGTTTGATTCCCTCTAAAGGGAATCTACACAGAAGAATACAGTGGTGCCTCGCTAGACAGTTACCCCGCATGACAGTTTTTTTGCTAGACATTGACTTTTTGCGATCGCTATAGCGATTCGGAAAACAGTGATTCCTATGGGGGAATTTCGCTGGACAATGTTTGGTCCCTGCTTCGCAAACCGATTTTCGCTAGACGATGATTTTGAAAGCTTCCTCCGCGCTCGCAAAACAGGTGGTTTTGGGACCTAAGCTTCGCAAGACAGCGATTTAAACAGGTGATCGGCGGTTCGCAAAGCGGCTTTCCTATGGCTGATCTTCGCTAGACAACGACGATTCTTCCCCATTGGAATGCATTAAACAGGTTTCAATGCATTCCAATGGGGAAATGCTTTTCGCTAGATGATGATTTCGCTAAACAGTGATTTCAGTGGAATCGATTATCATCGTCTAGCGAGGCACCACTGTAAAATCACACAATTGTAGAGTTAGAAAGGGCTTTAGAAGTCATCTAGTCGAGTGGTTCTCCAATTGGGCTCCCCAGATGTTCTCAGACTGCAATTCCCAGAAGCCTTCACCACCATCTCTGCTGGCCAGGATTTCTGAGAGTTGAAGTCCAAGAACATCTGGAGGCCCAAGGTTGGGGACCACTGCATTACTGGATAGCTCAATGGTTTAGCTGGGAGTCTGATTTCCCGCTGGGCCTTCTGGAGAGGGGCTGGCCTCAATGATCCATAGGGTCTGGGTTTCTAAGACGATGATGACGATTCCCATCAACACATGAATCCACAGCTGACTTCTCCCTGAGAGATGCCCATCCGACCGCTCTGTGGAAACCTTCAGTGAAGGAGACTCTTCCACCTTATGGGAGGGATGGCGCTTTTGCATTTTGTGGATTTCCACCTCCCAGTTCAGTCTGAATTACGGGAGTGAAAGCTACATAACAGCATAAATTGGAACAGCCCCTATATCTACCTTCAGCCTCCTGACTGTTCCTCTGGTGAGTCTCTGTTGGGTCTCGTCCTCCCTGGCAGCTTCGGATGTCTCCGGGAAGCTCATGATTCCCACCAAATTAGCAGGTGGTGGAAGTCTACTAAATTCAAAAGTCCATCCCTACTCAACAGTTTTTATCATCAGGAAATCCTTCCTAATACTTAGTGGCCATCTACTAGGCCCACTGCCTCTCCACTTCTCCAGGTTCAGCATATCAGCCTTATATGTCCTGGACCTGGTGTAACTAATGTTGGAGTTTTTGCAACCTTTCATGCTGCCTCTATTAAGTGTGGCTGGGAGGGACCTTTCTGGGCTGCGGTGACACGCCAGTCTATCCAGCACAAACCAATCATTCCTTCCTGCCTTTGAATTAAGAGGGAGCCCCGCCTCTCTGCTGAGTGTTCCTTTCCCTCTCTTTAGTCCATTGAAGTCAGTTTGGCTGTTTGATCTGCTCACAAGTAAGTAAGATCTCACAACAAGATTTATAAATAATGAAATATTGTTATTCTTTCTTCTACCAATATCTCCAAGCGAGTCATTAAGACTGTAAGTGCCATTTAATGAGAAAGGAGTGGATTATCTGGGAAACTTGCATCCATTCTTCTCTGTGAGACTCTGCACTTTTGCTGTGTAGCCAAAATCTGCAACAACAAATTCCAGCCTTTATATTCGTGTGAACTCTCTCTCTCTGTGTGTGTGTGTGTGTGTGTAAACAGCTTAGCTGTTCTTTGAGAAGGAATGCAAATAGATTATCTCAAAGGAAATCAGGAAACAGATATACAGATTTTAATTTTTTTTTGTTTCTTACCTGCCCTTGATATGCAGAGATAAGTTTAAGTTTTCCATCACACGAGCCTCTGTGGATCCGATGATGTTAATACTTTGTACAGCATCTGAAATGGAGGATAAACAACCTTAAACTTGCAGCCACAAAGCCGAACTTTCAACTGCAGTGATTTTTTTTAAAAAAAACATTTAATTGGTATTCTAGACAAATTGTGAAGGTATACATATTTCAGTTACTATCTCAACTGGCCCAAAACCTATTGCTCATTAACAAGGTGGTGGCTGTGTTTCTAGGATTGGACCTAACTGTGTGGTCATATATGTGCCCAGGAATGTCACCCGGGCTTTGTTATTGAGTGTCAGTTTGCTGCCAAGGCTTAGTCAACTTCCTTGTTACACAAGGATATATATATATATATCTAATAGGATTCTTGCTGCTACAGTAGGGTCCCCACATCTGTAGGGCATTGGTTCCAAGCCTCCCCCCACGCAGATGCTGAAAAATGTGGATTATAGTGAATGCTCTGGTCCCTGGTTCCTACTTGTGCAGGAAGATGCTGGCAGGTGGTAGCAAGGCTGGGAAGGAGAGAGCTGTATGCAATTACATAAACCAGCCTGCTGCTTCGCAGTGGTGTCCAACCTTGGGCCTCCAGATGTTCTTGGACTCCAGATGTCCCAGGAG